GGAAATACTACTCTCCTTCAAACGGCACGTTTAAAGGGGGCATATACGTTTATTAACGGCTAAATAAATTTCAGTTTTTTCTGTGCATTCTAAGATGAGGGTTAACATTTAAGCTGATATTGAACAGCGATAGAAACTCTTCACATTGACCGAATAGTGACTTTTCTCCTACATACTATTTAAATATCGATGTCTGGACAGAATTTAATCTGGAAACATTATGTTACTTATTATAATTGCATGTATTTTATGCGCCAAAAGGCGTTAAATCACACTGCTCTAGTCTTAAATCCATATGACAGGGTTTACCCCATGAGGAATACTTCATGCACTGGCATGCTTCCACCCAAATTTAGGGAAGCTGGCTGAGGGTCCAGCATTACAAACTATCGCAGACTCTCAGAAAGATAAGAGGGCAATGTCAGGAAAAGAGAGTAACTTACATCCGGCGAGTTCCTTCTCCTCTGCCTCCTTGTTGGCTATAGTAAAAGGCAAAAAACGATGCTTTAAGTCAAAATGACGAAAAAACGGTAAGCATTCATAAGCGACCACTTTAAGTCACTTCATATTATGCATTTTGCGCATAAGCGCATCGGAGTCTTGATTATTTTCTTCAACAGAACAATATAACCTCCTTACATTTGCTACTTGGAGGAGATTACCGCATTTTCGGTTACGAACAAAGTCACTTGTTGCAGTCTTTTACTCTGTTTGATTTGTATAAATATCCTAACTGCTCCGGTGTTCGGGAACACATTTCAGTTTGAGAGGGAATGCAATCTCTGTGAACCAATTCCCTTTTTTATTTCATACTTTAAAATATGCTTACGAAAAAGGATGAGAAAGAGGACGTGAGGGCGCTGCGCCATCAACCGCACTCTCCCCCGCCTCCAGCATCAGACCACGTCCGAGTCAGTGAGTTTTCTGATGTGAGGTGGACGCAGTGCCCGACAAGGCCGGCAAACCTGTCTGCGCACGCCACAGCACGACCTGGCCCTCTTGACACACACACTAGGGTTTACACAACCAGGTGTGTACAAGCAGTCCTCATCGCCTGGCTG